CGGGTCCAACCGGAGCCGCTCCAGCGGGCGAGACCGCGGCCGCACAGCATCCCTGCGAACGCCGAAACCGCGCGCCCCGCTGCCCTCGGTCGCTCGGCACAAGGGAGCCTGGCAGGGGATCCTCCATCTACTGGAATAAGCCTGCTGCGATGGCAACTCCCAAACAAAGTTTAGAGTCAGGGGATACGGGACAGAATCCTGCCTGGGGAAAGCTTTGCCGATGGCCCCTCTACTGTACTTGCTTTTAAAGCCCCCCGGGTGAAACCCCTCGCAGCACCCCTAGGCTTGCTCTGCCTGTCTTCACCAGGAACAGAGTTTTAGCACCAGGCTGTTCTGACATTTATAATGAAGCATGACAGAAGGTTTTTTCACTTCAGTTCCTTGATTTACAATGCCAGAAACGCACATTAAAGAACCACAGGGACAGCTGGGTCTGCAGAGTCCCCAGCCTTTGAAGTAGAGGCCGGCAGGGCACCTATCATCTCAAAGTCCCCTCCTAAAACACAGTCAAAAGACGGACTCTGTTTGCTCCTTTATCATCACCACAGAGATATCATCACCGAGATAATTACTGGCAATTACAGGTTAGGAGGAATTCCTAAAGTCAAGACTTTAAAGCTGTCTCTAGTCCAAGATGCTGCTTTGAAACTACTGCTACCATCGTTATTTTGTAGAGGCTTGTAATCACCTAACGAGCCCGGAGAAGCAGCCGGAGCGCAGACGCAGCTCGGGCACGGCGTAGTTTGGCTGCTGCGTGGATACAGAGCGCGTTACCTGCGCTGCTGCACGTGGCCATAGTCCTCCCCCTACAAATCGCCCCTGCTTGTTTCCCCGCTCCCAGCGAAGCCCGGCCGGCGACGCGAGGCTCGCCCCGGTCAGCTGAGCCACCGCGGCGGTTTTCCATGCGGAGTACGTTCAGGCTCCTTTCTCGCACATCCAAGCCCACCTCGGCCGAGCTGCGCAATGAACCTCACCGGGACCCAGCTACTGCCTTCAGCTCTGTAAATCCACAGAGGCACGGAGACGCCTCGGCTCTGAAGCGGAGACATCGAGGGATACAGGAGCAACGCACGTGATGCGCTGAAGCCGCTTCATTAACACGGCGTGACCGGAGGGGACAGACGCCGGGCACCGTTTTGCCCGGAGGCGCCGACCCACGGCGCGGAGCCTGCCGCAGAACAGCGGCTCCAGGAACTCCTCAACAGCTTCAAGATGGTCAGTGCCACAGACTGCCAGGCAGGGTCAGGAGCCCCTCCAGCTACACGCACACAGGGTTTACAAAATTTCTCATAGTCTCTCGGTTTCAGCCAAGAAAAACATCCACTGAAAGCACTCTGCTATTTACAGCTCACTGGCGGGTTCAGAGCCACATCTCTCCCCGCACGTAGCTCTCCGTTGCATCGACCCC